CGGCGATTGGTCTATAAATGCGACCTGTATAGCTACTGCAAAATCCGACATTTTTTCAGTATTTGGTCCATTTCAACCCCTAAACATTTGGCGATCATCTCCAAAAGAAATAGGGTTCTATTCTGACCCTAGCCCCACCTCCATACTAAATTTCGTGAAGATCGGGCCATAATTGCGACCTGTAGAGTGATTACAAATTAACATGGACAGACGGACAGACGGACAGACGGACGGACGGACATACATAGCTAGATCGACTCAGCTTGGCGAGCTAGGAAGATCCATATATACTTTCCTATGTGGGAAACCAATATTTCGTGGTGTTACATAATTTTTGGCCCAATCAAACTTATAATACCCCCAACACATAGTGTTGTAGGGTATAAAAATCGTATATTTATCAGACCTATATTGAGCTCTAGAAACCTGTCAATGCCTCACAACTGTATTTGATAGAAGAACGTAACAAATTTTTATATCCATCGGAGGCATCTAAAGCCAATTCTTTTTGGCGATGTTAGCAAAGTATTTAGGGAATTGTTTCTTGATTTTGCAGTCGCTTTACAGATTACAATTATAGACAAATTGAATCATGGTTTGGTAAAATTAAACAGAATATTGGTATAAAACCAAATTGTCAAAGCTCGGTATTATAAAAAATATCTATACATATTGGAGTCGATTAGTAAAATGTGGAGAAGAATATCTTTGTCTTTGACGTCATCCTTCTAAAATGATGATTTGTTGGAAATTTTTGCACAAAATCACACAAGCTACGGCTATAATTCCAAAATGTGTTTATAATATTTATGAATTCCTGGCGTTTAGGTAAAATGTAGACCCTTGACGTCTCCTAGGAACTATAGTAGAATTCTATGACAAACAAATTTATAGAATATTTTGATTTGTTATGGTTCCGTTTAATTTGCAACCAAATATTCTCCGTATTTTTATCTGAAATATTTCCGAAGACACTATATACCTAAAACGCACGGATTTCGAGGAATATTAAACCCTCTATTTAGGTTACTTTTCTATGTAAACTTTCAAAACTCCGATACACGTGTCTTCTTTTTCATACTCTCCACCATACATAGTATGGAGGGTATTAATTTATCGAAACAATTTTAGACCTAACAAAGTAAAAATATTCTTAATCGCCTTAAAATTCTAAGACGATTTAGCCAGGTCCGTCAGTTTTAACCAGGCAAGATTCAAAACGAATTAAGATAGGAAGCTAAAACTTTGTTCAGGTAACTTGTCTGAAGGCATGTCAAGTTCGAAGAAGGGCTATATCGGTCAACGATATCGTATAGCCCCATAAAACGGTACCTTCCGATATTCGGTATTTTGATGATTTTAGCAACATTTCTTAATGGAATTATCTGAAATTCTGCCTAAATATGTCCACAATATTGTGTATATCCCATATAACGGTACCTCACGATTGTTTCTCACCCCATTTACATTTTGTCTTTAAGCGGTATTTTTCTACGGGTTTTTAATATTTTTCAAATTACTCCCAAATAGTGGACGGTATTGGACTTACCTGCTTTTCCACTTGTTAAAACCTCACCCATATAACTTAGATCGAGATCGGAGATTCCTTTTGGTACCTCCCCCACGAAAGGTCAAGATTTTTACAGAAAATAATTAGAATAAATAAAAAAAGTAGTCATCCTATTTTGTTCAAATTGTGAAGATCCCAATAACAGATTAATGCTGGGTCAGGTGCAAAAATGGACATTATCGGCACACTCCATATTTTAACTCTCATTAAATACGAAATAAGCATTCGTTTCTCCTCAAATCACATCTCACATATCCAATGTTTTAGTTAACAAATTACCTGGTATGAAGATTGTAGATATCGATCTATTCCTTCTGGTGCCTACCCCACAACGGATCAAAATTTTGAATAATCGGGAAGCTCATAAAACGCGAAACTAGCATCCGATTATTTTCAAACTCGGCGCATCTCAATATTTCTTTCAACACAAGATCTGCTGTGAATCGATCTACTCCTTCTGGTTTCTTCCCCACAAAAAACGCCAAAACATCTTGAATACCAAAACGCTCGTAAAATGCCAAATAAGCATCCGATACTCTTAAAATTTCACACAACCCAATGTTTTTGCTAACGCAAGATTTGGGTGGAAGATGATAGATATCGGCGCACCCCTTCTGGTGTCTTTCCCACAAATGGTCACAATCTTCAATACCTATATCTCTCATAACATGCGAAACTTGGTATGTCTAAATATTTCTCTCATCTGATGTTAATATGGAATAATCAGCCCACTCGATTCTGGTACGTTCCCCCCAAAATATTAAAATTATTCGTATTATAAAGAACATTTTTGTTCTTTAAATATTGCACATCCCGTTATTTTTATCAGTATTGGATAAAATTAAAGACTTCGATCCATTATATCTGCTACCTAAAGCATATTTTACAATTTCCACAAATTATCACTTTCCCACATAAAGTGAATTAAGTAGTCGATATAGTTTAAATCTGGCACGTTGTTATATTTTTTTTTTTCAAGCTGACTTAGGTGAGACAGAAAAAGGACAATTTTGGCTCACTGCTTCGGAAACACCTCCATAAAGATTCAAGAGCTTGAATAATCATTACGCAAGTAAACATTTATTTTAATAAACCGATGTAGGCCGAGGGTGTACATCTATCGACAATATTGACTGATTGTTTTAAGTTGTTTAACTCTACTTTCATAATCTGCTGGATTTTCCCCGTAATTATTTATTTTATTTTTGTTGCGCAGTGTTATAGAGTCATTATACCCTACAACACTATGTGTTGGGGGTATTACAAGTTTGATTGGGCCAATAATTATGTAACACCTCGAAATATTGGTTTCCCACGTAGGAAAGTATATATGGATCTTCCTATTTCGCCGAGCTGAGACGATCTAGCTATGTATGTCCGTCCGTCCGTCTGTCCATGTTAATTTGTAATCACTCTACAGGTCACAATTATGGCCCGATCTTCACGAAATTTAGAATGGAGGTGGGGGTAGGGCCAGAATAGAACCCAATCTTTTGGAGATGATCGCATAATATTTTGCTCTACAGGTCGCAATTATAGACCAATCGAAGCGGAAGTTAGCATGACGCTATAGCTTAGGGCTCGGCAGAAGCCTTCCAATTTTGATGGTCATCGGATAATAGTAAGTGGGTGAAAAAGGCCATAACATTTGTGTTAAATAAAATCAAAATTTCCATTAAACCGCGAACATTTTTAATCCCGGCTAAATCACAAATAGACGAACAGGTCAATCCTGACCGGTACGTAGATGCCGAAAGTAAATATATTAGATATATATAGCGAAATATGTAAAATATATGTATATATATATATATATATATATATATATATATATATATATATATATATATATATATATATATATATATATATATATATATATATATATATATATATATATATATATATATATATATATATATACAAAGGAAGGGGATGTTAACTAAAATGCTTATATCTCAAGAATGACTGGACAGATTTCAGAATGCCCTCTTGACATAAAAGTATAAAATCTAAAAAAATCGCATTTAAAAATGCCAGTAGTGATGTAAATATAAATTTTGTTGTATTTCATGACATTTTTTATTTTTTCATATTTTTATCGCATGCGATTTTTTCCATTTGACTTAAAATATTGAGCATACATTTTGTAATATTTTTTCACCTTACAACACAGGTTGGGGTTATGATATACAGATTGCAATTCTCGTCCGATCATCACGAAAATTTTCACAAGGGTAGGGTAAGGCTCAGAAGTGCTAGCCCTATTGTTTTCAAAGATGCCCGCAATATATTTAGGGATTGAAATGGACCAAAACTAAAAATGTTCCTCATTTTGCATCCGTTATAAAGGTAACAAATTGAAACCAAAGGACACGAAATCTCGCATGAAGTTAGAGTTTAAGACGGCGGGTAGAATGGACCACTATTTTTGTGTGAAGAAATACCAACATTACTTACTTACACAAAATGCGAACTTCTGGCTTTTTTATGCTGATTTCGTTGACGAATGTAGCCAAATATCGTAGACAAGCAAATCATATAGATGAGTCTAAATTTGGAATATAGAAAACACTATTACTTTTGGAGATGATCGGAAAATATTTAGGGGTTCAAATAAACCAAAAATAGAAAAAAATTTCCTGATGAAACAATTTAATCCAATGAACACGCCTGAGGAGAGAGTTAGGGACAAGGAAGAAGTCTACAACAACTAACAGCACGTAGAAGTGCGTAAATATTGGGCAAATATTCCTGGTCAAAATGCTTAGGGTAATATGTGGGCAGTGCTTCGTGACATAATTTCAAAAGCATAATCTTCCAAAATGGATTTGGACATAAGGGGGCTTATTATATATTGTAGTGTTGTAGGGTATCACTTGTTTTATTTTATATCATGTTGTATAATTCTTTAACCACTCTCTGGTCATTCAGATCCTCATCTTCCAGATATGTATGAATGTAGATTTCCCAAGGGTTTGTCTCGAGAATTTAGTCTCTCATTCTCCTGCCGCACATATTTCACTCTCTTAGTTTTTCCGCTCATGTGTAGACCTGAATACATTTACATTTCGCATTCTGCTATCCTAACCTTTCTATACTCCACTATCTTGTTTTTTCCAAATATGTATGAACATATATTTTTATATCACAAAAATTTAGCATTCTCCAATTTATGAGAGGATGTTGCCTTCATTTCGTCTCTCCTTTCATTTGCCCTTTTCCCCGATTTCTTCTCCATCAAATTTTGTCATACAACTTTGGAGGGAAATATCATAACAAAATTCCTTCAAAAAGTTATTCCTTTACCTTTTTACATAGTTTTGCTGCTTGATGGGAATAAAACATATAACATATTTATATGCGTAGATATATCGACGAAAATATGTCAATAATATTTTTTTTGTTCTTCTCTTCAATTTTCTTTCAGGTATGCTTATAGTGACTAAAAATGGAATGTGTAAGAAGGTGAGTGAGCGTGTGTGCAAAAGTGTCGATAATCCTTTCAAATTTTTTTCATATCCGAAAAAAGAACGGAAATTCACCTGCAGCCAAATATGGATATTTTGTCATCCTAAAAAAAGAAGAATGTATGTATAAAGAAAATTGTCACATATAAAAGCAAATATTTCTAGAACAAATTACCTTGGGTAATTTAAGAAAAATTGGATATATTTTGAAGAAAATACCTACGATGAAAGGTAAGGTTGGTTGTTACGATGGAAAATTGTTGCTGCATGTTTTTTAAGGAATTTAATCAAATATTGATTTTTCCTGGAAGAAAAGAAGTGTGGATAAGAAAAATCTCACAAAAGATATGTATATAAAAAACTAGGAATGAAATGATGCATATATGGAGTGAAAAGTTTCGAGCTTTAGAAGCACGTGTAGGGATAGTTTTATATTGGAGACACTATTTCGAGGATTACTGTCAAATATTGGTAATTTTTATATCCTCAGCCATATGACTAGAGAGGGTATATATAATTTGATACGGTCAAAACTTGCTTAGTCGAAATAACGGTTTTAGACCCTCTTTGGACCACATCCGTTTCAGGACATTTGGAGTCGATCTAGCGATGTCCGTCCGTCTGTCTGTCAAACTAAGATCGAGTTCGAAGATGGACAATTTCGGTCTACTCTTTCTGGTACCTCCCCCACAAAAATTCGAAATTTCAAAAAAAAAAATATTTTCTGCATAGAAACAGAAACGATTATCTGATTTTGCTCCTACTTTGCAAATCCTAATATTTGCGTCAGTGCTATTTCAGGTGCGAAAATGGACAATGTCGGTCTACTCAATCGAGTACCTTGAAAAGTCAAAATTTGGAATAATTACAATTTTTATAAAATGTGGTCTGAGAGTTCGAATGTCTTCAAATTAAACAGATCAAAATATTTTTATTAACCCAAGGTCTTGTGTTAAGATGGAATATATCGGTCCACTCCTTCTGGTACCTCCCCCACAAAGGGTCAACATTTTTAATATAAATGGAGCTCATAAAACGCGAAAATAAAATCTGATATCATTCAGACTTGGCACGTCTCAATATTTTCATCAATTCAAGATCTGCTTTAAAGATGGAAGAGATCTAACCAATTCTTCTGGTACCTCCCCCACATAGGGTTCAAGATTTTGAGAAATCAAACAAAGCATGGCAAATAGAGGGTCAAGAGTTTGAATAATCATAACAGAAGTCAAAATATTTTTAAATAATCGAACATTGGCTGAGGATATACGTCCGTCGGCAGAACCGACTGATACTTTTTAACTTGTTTAAGATCCATCAAGGATCTTAAATATTATTATTATTATTATTATTATTATTATTATTATTATTATTATTATTATTATTATTATTATTATTATTATTATTATTATTATTATTATTATTATTATTATTATTATTATTATTATTATTATTATTATTATTATTATTATTATTATTATTATTATTATTATTATTATTATTATTATTATTATTATTATTATTATTATTATTATTATTATTATTATTATTATTATTATTATTATTATTATTATTATTATTATTATTATTATTATTATTATTATTATTATTATTATTATTATTATTATTATTATTATTATTAATATTATTATTATTATTATTATTATTATTATTATTATTATTATATATTATTGCTATTATTATTGTTATTATTGTTATTTATTTATTAATTTTTTTTGAAGTAACATTTTTAAATAAATAAATAAATAAATAAAAAAAAAAAAATAATAATAATAATAATAATAATAATAATAAATAAACGAATAAAAATAAATTCTTAAAAAAAATTGTTTTGTTATTTGTAAGACCAGACATATAATTAATTTTCTTGATTTTAATTCTCTTTTCTTTAAACTTTAAGTTTATTGTTTAATATTTCACTCAGGAGGGAACAATAAGTATCTTGTGTCGTTTTTGTTTTTTCTTTCTTTCTTCTTTGGGTGTATGTGCCATCAAGGATCTTAAATAAAAAAGAAATATTTAAAAAAATTACTGACTTTAATTTGTCTTCATATTTTTTATAGCACCCCTCCCCTCCAACACTACCCACCACTATTGCTGGTGTTATAACAATTGCCATGGATGGCAAGAAGAGACACAGTTTCCTATAGGAGTTTTATGCATGGATTTTCATATAAATATATATGAGTATATGGTTATCAGCATTTTTGTTGTAGTTTATTCGTTCGTTTGTTTGTTCGGTTCCGCTTTGTGTACATAAAAATAAATGTGTGTAATACCCACCAAGGATATTTGTTTATTCCATAGAGGACAATGTTTTCAAATTTATTTCAATTTAAATGTGTTTGCCTCCATTGCTTTATTTGGCCAACAACAACTATTGTTTTATATGTATATGAATGTGTACGATTTTTTTGGAACTGTTCGACAAACAAGCACAGTGGTGTAGGGTACTAAAACAAACACATTAATACAAAAGAAATATTTAAACTTCGGCACAAGTGCAGATCGTGGGAAGCTCCTCTCCATAGGTATAGTTTACTGAATCTAAAGAAAAACAAGTAAAAAACATAGTGTTCGGCCGGATAAGAATTTTAAATGCCCACCACGATTATGTAAAGATATAATAAGAAGTATCTGCTTTCAAAAAGCAATAAAGTTCCGCCCCATCAACTGATAGCCATACCAAAACGAGAACCTATACAGGTAAATTTCCACTACAGGGTTTTATATTGATTGCAAATTGAAACAATTTTGTGGTAAAATGTGGTACGGTCATTAAAATGCCGAATATCGGTGGGTGCCATTATACGGAAATCGTGAACCAATACGTACGATGTTTTGACACTTGTAGAAGAAACCATTTTGAACTACAATTACCAAATTGTACACAAAGTCGTTAGAAAATATGGATTAAATCTGCTGCCATATGCAGAACCCGTTACTTATTGGTAATTAGGTGGGAAAATTTGGCTAAAATACCGAATATCGGCATCGGTCCAATAATGTAGCCTGAAACGTGCTTCCAAACGACAGACAGGCGGACGTCGTTAAATTGATTTAAAATGTTATGCCGATAATGAATGTACATATTTACAAACAGAATGACAAATTTAATATAACCTTCTTTTTATGGTGGAGGGCCGCTACCATTGTCAGAGCCTAAAATCGGATGGTACGGCTTTATAGAGGCTACATCAAAATGAAAAGACATACCGAATTTATATAGGAACTATAGAAAACCGTGGTCTTATTTCCAATATTTATACCCTACACCACAAAATGGTAAGGGTATTATGTCTTTGTGCATTTGTTTGCAATATGGAGGAGGAAGCGAGATAGACCCATAGTTACTTTTGAGGATTTTCATAGAATCACCTTCTGAGTCGATACATGCATTTCAATCCGTCTATGCATTTTTGTGAACAAAATGCTGGTCGCATTTATTATCCGATTGAGATGAAATTTTCCAAACAATATATCATCAACCGATTTCGGGTTAATTGTGCACCAAACAGCAAATATCAGTCCACAAGATCTGAAGTTCGGCACATCCTACCGCATTCAGTCTAGAGCAAGTACATAAATTTAGAGAAAATCAGATCAGATATAGCAATAGCTCCAATATATATGTTTCATCCGATTTGTGGCTTTAAGTTTATCGATGCATAATATGTGCTCCACATGAATGATATTTGGTACAAGATAACTTATGGAGCTCAAAACCACTTCTGTCAAATTTTTTCAATATCGGTTCAGATTTGGATACTTTATCCGATGTCGGGATTATTTTACACAAAATGGGGAATATTAGCCCAAATCAATTTTTGGAATTCCGACTGAATTCTTTTAGAAACAAGTAGCTATAGCTCCCATATACATGTTTCATCCGATTTGGGGTTTTAAGTCCCTCATATGAGTAATATGAAATCCTAAACAATAATCGTTTGTTCCAGATATCAGATACAGCCCAGAAATAAGTATTTCAAATTTTGTCAAGATTGTTTCAGATTTGAATATGACCCCCATATGTATCTCTATCCGATTTCAGATTAATTGTGCACCAAATGCCTTAAAAGAGTTGATTCGCTTGGCCAAAAGTGGTGAACTGCCGTATTTGGATTACTCCGATGAGAAAAGTGTCGATCACCTCAAGCAAGCGCTTCACCGGGACTGGGCCAAAATACCGCAGAGGAATATTCGGGCAGTGTGTATGTCATTGGCCGTTTGAAGGCCATAATTCGTTCCAAAGGAGACTAGTTCGAACAAATGTAAATTTATACTAAAATTTGATGCTATTTCCGAAATTTTTTTTCTTTCCTTCAATAAAATTAAAAAAAAAAACAAGTAAAAAAGCAAAAAGTTCCGTGCCGAACCTTGAATACCCTCCACCATTTGGAACAAATTAGGAAATATCAAAAAAAAAAAAAAAATTAAATAAAATAAAATCCAAAAATTCTGTTAAATCTTAAAAATACCGAATATCGTAAGGTGCCGATGTATGGGGGGATATACGATATTGTGTACCTATATAGACAAATGTAGGTCTGCGGGTAAAGTACTCACAAAGAACTCCTTGTGTAGAATTTTAGATAATTCCATCAAAAAATGCGGGCTATAATCATCAAAATGCCGAATATCGGGGGGTACCGTTATATGGGGGATATACGATATCGTGGACCTACATAGGCAATTCTTTTTCAGGGGGTAAAGTGCTGACAAAGAACTCCTTGTCTAGAATTTCGGACAGTTCCGTTGAAATATGTGGCTAAAATCATCGAAATACCGGATATCAGGGGTACCGTTATATAGGGGCTATACGATATCGTGGACCCATATAGATAATTATCTTCCAAAGGTTTCTGTTCTCACAAGGAACTCCTTGTGTGCATTTTCAGATAATTCCATAGAAAATTTGGCTAAAATCATCAAAATCCCGTATGTCGCGGGGTACCGTTATATGGGGGATATACGATATTGTGAACCTATATAGACGTTTCCCTTTCAGGGGGTAAAGTGCTCACAAAGAACTCTTTGTGTAGAATTTCAGACAATTCCGTTGAAAAATGTGGCTAAAATCATCAAAATACCGAATATAGGGGGTACCGTTATATGCGGGCTATAAGATATCATGGACCTGTATAGATAATTCTCCTCCAAGGGATAAAGTACTCACAGACAACTCCTTGTGTGAATTTTCATACAATTCCATTGAAAATGTGGCTAAAATCATCAAAATGCCGGATATCGGGGGTAACGTTATATTTTCTGTGGAACGATATAGCCCATCTTCGAACTTTATCTG